CCCCGTCTTTTGTCCCGTAAGCTATGTGTTGATGATGATGGTTAATATAAAGTAATATTGCGATGAATGCAGAGCTTCACTCAGTGTATTTTTATGCTATTATGATTTGTGATGTACTCTTTGACGCGTAGTGATAAATGATATTCAGTGTAGTGCGCAGAGCTTCACTCCCCGACCCAGCCTGATGAGAACATTGTAGTGACGGAAATAATAGTTGCCAAACATTGATGTAACGTATAAATTAAAAAAAATTTTGCGAATGCACTTCCAACTAATCCATCATCCCTTTAGGATTGTTTCTCTGTCAAATGTCACACACAGTACCACCCATGGCCAGCCGGCCATCAACCACAGTACATACGAGCAGAGAAGAAGCAGTGTGAAGAAGCAGCGTGATGAATGCAGCGTGATGAATGCAGCACGCAACCCACCACACACCACGTCACTTCTTTCAAGTCCTCCCTTGGTCTAGGATTAAGAAGATTTTATATTTTTCTACTTTAGGAAGTTAAAGAGTGTGGAATGAAGCGCCACACAACGAACCCTGGTGAGCCCAGCCAGGGAGGGATTCACCACTGTGGAAGGTGTAAGACAGGACGGTTTTTGGTCTCGCCGACACTCACGTACGAAGGGCGAGCCCTGGTCTGCGGAACCTGCCTTACGAGTCATCTAAGGAGACGACAGCCCAAGCAGTGGACCGGCCTTCATCCCGGCCGGAGGGGGCCGACGGCAGATGAACAGAAAATCGTCTGGAATATGTTGAAAATGATGATGTACTGAGAAAAAAGGAAGATGAAACAGAAAATTCATCTGGAAGATGTTGAAAATGAGGCTCTAAACGTAGAGGAAGAACACAGATGGGACAGAAAACCCATCTGGAATAGTATAAAAACCAGGAGGAACTGAGAAGAAGTCAGAAGGTGTGGAGAAACGACCTACAAGGTGCGGTATTGAAGAAAGATAAACGTGCTATGTGAAGTAACAAGGCAGAAGACGTGTATTGAAGAAAGAAGACAGAAGATGTGCTGCGCTGACATAAAAAGAAAGACGACGATGAAAAGGTGACCAACCCACTATAGCTGCTGTACTGCAGGCATCCCCTATTTTTCAGATACCAGCTGCATGGAAGACGTGAGCTATGCCGGACCCAACTAATGTACTGATGTTGTTGATGTTGTCGATGTGTAATACCCTAATATGTGAAGTAGGAACATTTTTGGTGTATTTTGAAGTATTTTCTCTGATTTTTGTTGATGTTTACTACAAAGAATGTCTTTTTTTAGCCTCACTTTTCTCTATGAGTTCATTTGATCAATGTTTTGGACTATGAAACACGATGTTGTAGCCATATTACTGACTGAGATGAATTATTATTTTGACATGGGCTGATAAGGAAATGTAACACCTGTTGTTGTTTTGATTTGCAAGTTGTCTCAGATACAAATCTAGATATGAAGGATTTTTTCATTCTATGTTCACTTGCTATGTTTCCTTTTTCTCCTGCCATAGAAGCTTTGAGCTTGGCGGGAGGTATAGTAAGCTTTGTCAGATCAAACTAGCGCCAGTAGAAAAACATACACCTATGAGTTTGTAGTTTGTAAATGTGAGACTATGTTATCACCCCAGGGATCTTTGATACCACACGTGATGTTGTTGTCCATATGTGACATCAGTCTCTGTGATGAAGCTTTGGTCTTGGCGGGAGGTGTAATGATTGATTGTCAGACCAAAGCTTACAGCCCAGAATTATGTCGCATATAACAGCAAGTACACTACAGACCTCGTGGTACCACCACATTCCGGGTTGACACACCTCAGGTTGACCCAAGGGACTTGACCTCGCCCGCTAATGACGTGAGTTAGCCGGGTGACCTACAACCCCACCTAACCAAGACACCTGGGCAGGACCACACCAGCACAGAGCTATCCAGATCAAACCAGTTTAGTGATAATTGGTTTGAGGTCAAAAGCCGGTTGGGCCGATCCTATATAAAGGCCCTACAGTCCCGTCCACGATCATTCTGGTTCTGATTATCATTCCATTCTGATTATCTTTCTGGTTCTGATTATCATTCTGATCCTGGTTGCCATTCGAACATTACTATGGAGATTCTCAGTCACGCTTGTCCTCTCCCCAGGTCGGGAGGGGGACTTCCCGACCAGACCCCAGCTAAGCAGAAGCCTCCCATAGGAGGCAGCCCAGCCAAGCATCCACTGGGCCTATGTCAGGGTACACGTGAGTCTTGTCAGAACGATTCCTAGGGTGAGTTACCTACTATGGGAAGTGTATTCTTTCAGGTGTGTCCGAGAGTCAGTGTCGAGTAACGTAAAACATAATGTGTTAGTACCCCGATATAATAGTGAAATTAATGTGTCCATGTCATTGAGTGAATTAATAAATAGTTGTATCGAAGAGGTGTTTAACAAGTTGTCCCTTTAAGAAGTGATATATGTGTATTGACATACGAGATAAGATAAGCGTATTGACGCTGAGTAAATAACATCCCGGCCACGCTACCAGGTTTCCTATCTTTACATTACTACTCTCTATTCTTACTTATATGTGTAATCTTCTTATTGTGTTCTGTCTCATTATAGTACAATACTGTAGAACATATTATAATATAAAGTTTTTAAACTGTATTTTTGGGTATATTTACATAAATTTCTTCATTTATTTTCATCCATTTACATGCACACACCATACTAAAAGAAACGTAAAAAAAATAAATGACCTTAGTGCAAAGCTGGAGTGTACATGTACTAATTTGATTTACGGTACAAAAATTGTTATGTCTAGTGCAAATTATAGCATGTTTATATTCAAATTAATCAGTATCTTACAAGAATCCCAGCAATGTTAATTATATTCTCCCAGGTCATTTCACTGGCATTTTAAAATGAGAGAAGCTTGGTAGGACTGTTAAATAAACACACAGAAATCTTCAGCTCAAACTGTCAAACATATCACCTCAATACCCCACCCCCCAACTCCCGCCTCTGGCTGGCTGGCTCCTCTCCCCCAACTGCTCAGCCAAGGTTTTAGGCTTACAATTTTTATCTTATATAATATCTCAGACTAAAGTTAGATTATAATTTGCATTGCTGGAATCCTTGCAAGACAGCCAATAATTTAAATATAAATGGCATATACTTTGCTCAAGAGATAAAAAAATTTGTACATTAATGTACAGTACTGT